ACCTTATCGATTGTTGGAAGTTCATTTCTAAAGAAGAATTGATGTACTTTGCGCCTTATTGCATTTTTATCAAAATCATCCACAGAGTCGCAAATTTGTTTATTACGTAGCTTTCTTTTTGGTTCAGAAAATGTATGATTCTGCTTATACTCCTTCATAACATTAAAAACGGTTTTAGCGCACGTTGCTGTTGTATCAGCAACTCTCCCTTCAACAGCATGTACAAACATATCAGGGTTCTATAAAATTTAATGTTTATAAATATTAATTTCTTTAGTACGAATATCCAAATTTCCCTTTTTCGGTCGCTTTTTAGGGGGAGTAAAAATATTTTTTGGGACTTCATTTGCTGTGTCTGTGGAGAACATATTGTCGGTAGACGAATAATTAAAACAATAACAAAACGTTTTTAAATTCGTAAAAATCACGCAGGAGTGACAAAATATAGTCAATCAAATGTCAATAAAATAAAGTAAAAAATGTTCAAGCTAACAACAACCGTAAGAACCAAAAAATAAATAATTAAATATATGTATATCTATACTATAATATAAGGAAAAATAATCAATAAAACATACAACATGTCCAAACTAATCAAAACGGTGAATGCTACCAAAACGCCGTTTCTAATTATCCGCAAGCGCAGTATATTCCTACGAAAACCACAGTGAACTGAATTCGACTCTGGCAAAAATATTTGCGCGTCGTCTAGAATGACTAACGGCCGATTAACTAATAGAACCGCAAGAAAATGCCGCGTGATTTGTTGCCGGGTGGGAGCGGTTATTTTGACGCGGCGTAAATGAAATCTGAATAGACTTTAATTTTTTTTTTTGGATCTTCGGGAGAAAGCTCTGTGTTAGGAAACCTCCTACACTAGCTGCTTCTTTTAGCTGATCGCAGATTACGTTTTTGACATTGCCTTTTCTGGATTGCTGCGGGAAATTTGGGAATACTTAGTGTGGGCACAGCACCAGGTTTCAAATGTGGGCTATTTATGGGCATGTAACCCAACAATCTCTGCTGTAGAGGCTCCTCGAAACAGGAGACTTTGAAGTATACAAAGCAAATGCGAGCTGCAAAAAACATCTAGTCATAATATATGTACATGAAATTTATGTTTATGCAACCGAATCAGCATTTTACATGACCATTGACACTGAATAATAATAAGTGTGAATCAAATTTTTCATTATTCCAATAAAAGCTCCTACACTTACCATTTTTTAAGTTTATTGTCCCTTCTCGGCGACATGCTACAATTCACTGCTTAACCAAATCATCATTCTTTTGGAATGTCCTTTTCCTTCGTAATTTTGCACAATTAGATGTTTTATAGTTTTTTTATTGTCACAATAAAATTACTTTAATTTAAACCCTTTAAAAACATCCAAAAATGGAAAATACAAAATCAAAACAATTTAAAATTCTTCAAATAGGTACTTCAAAAATGAACAAACAAACAAAATACTTTTAACTCTTATTTAAAATTTCAAAAATAAACGCTTATCATTATTTCGTATCATTATATCTTTATAATTATAAATAAAACTGTATTAAAAAAATAAACGCTTATCATTATTTCGTATCATTATATCTTTATAATTATAAATAAAACTGTATTAAAAAATAATTCTTATTTAAGCGTCAATCAAATAATGCTTGCCTGCTGTTTGCTTTATGCCACGTTAAGTCATGCGCAGAAAGTGCGAAATTCGGTCGGATTAGTAGCATACCGGTATTTGTTTATTGTGCTGTATACTTTTTTGAACGCTTAGATATTTTTGATTTTTCTTTGACCCTCTTTTTGTAAGTTAATAAGCTTTTTCATGGCCATAGATGCTTTGATGACCAGGCACCCAAACTAGATTTACTCTATTTCAATTTGATATTGTCCTCAGTTCTTTGAAGCAGTACCAACACAACCTCGACATCACTTCCTGATTCGATATAACCTTAAGGGCCGCTTGGCTGTCTGATATTACATGGATCCTCTCGTTTTCGGTATATCTCCCATTATTTGTTCTTGCACATTAGAAAATAGCCTAAACTACCTGAAATACTGAGGCTCCAGTGCTTTCCGCAGCCTTAGACCTGTAGTTTGTTCCTATGGTTGGGCATTGGGTTCCCTAATAGCGATCTTCATTCTATTTGGTATTAGAACCTCGAAAGGATCAATAACTAGTTCAAGTTACACTAGTAAATTTTGGAATATTGAATAGTACATATTGATACCCTCAATTTTGTAATCTGTACTAGGATTGGGTTCAACTTCTGTAAATGTTAACAAAAAATGAATTTCAAATTAAAATTTAGCAAAATATATAAAAATCAATTCTTCTCTTTTTCGGGTACTGCACATTTCTGCTATTGTACACTAAAGTTTTCTCAAATATCTTCTCCTTATTTGTTACCTAGTACTGTACCTTAATATCGTCCGGAACTAAACTTGTTTCAATAGAAAAATTTTTAATAACATGTAATAGAAGTTGGGATTAACTCTCAAAACATTATTTTAATAAAATTGTAAATATTTCATATTATTGTTTACCATCTTAAATAATAACTTAGATTCCAATGAACTTTTATGTTTGATTGATTTTGAAATAAATACTATAAACATTAAAGAGAGATCTCCAATTAATAGCAGCGGCATGAGCAAACATTTAATAACACAAGATATATCCTTATCTTTGTCAGTTATAAAATGGAATGGTTAGATGTTGTCCAGAACGCTGCAGTATCTTGAGTCTGTTGTATTCCCATGCTTTTCCCATATTCGGATACTGTGTTTGAATAGTCCAGTGTTTTTGGTTAGTTGTACTATGTTTCGTACCAAATGTTCCTGGAGAACTCTTTCCGGTTCTAGACTGAAAAGGCTGCGTCCCCGCTTAGCTAGAATTTGGTGTATGAAGATAATGTGGTATGGGTATGAGGGATTATTGTATCATCACCTGTATCATCACCTGTATCATCACCTGAAGATGCTTGAACAAGCAGTGTCCTTTTAGTAATCCCACAATGATAGATATTTTCTTCGTAGCATTAGCTTACTGATTATGTGTCTTTTTATATATTGTTAGTGAGTTTGGTGTTTAATGGTTATCCACTTGTTCAGTGCCCGATGAGCGGAGGTTTTGCTTCCCAAACACAGATTCGCAGCCTGTGAATTGTTTTGATCCCTCTTTGACGAGTTCATCAGCCTTTTTATTTCCTTTGATACCTTTATCTCCTGGTACCTACGCTAATTTTATCTTATTGTGGGTTATCACCTCATTAAGTATTCCAAGTGACTTAATTATGAAGTAAGGGCCTTTAAGGCTGCTTGTCTGTCTAATAGAATTAGGATGGTTTGTTTTTGCACTTCCTTCTTAGGTTCTCTCTTACACACAATTTAATTGCATATGTTTTTCAACCAGAAATACAATAGTATGTTTTCGCAATACAAAGGTTATGTCGCATTTATCTTTAACTCTATGTATGCCAAAAAGAGCCTGTCCCTGGCTACATAAGTTGTAAGATTTGGAAGGCGATAACGGAGCTGTTTCATCCATGCTGTCTCCTCATGAATTACAAACAAACAAAATTGCAAACTTAGAATCAAATATAGCAAAGGAGACACTGAATCTCAATATTCTGTATAAAACGAAATAACAGGACCTAGTCCTAGAACAAAAGGAGGAGCAACACTATAATAATAATATGCTGTCTTGACACATTTTATTTATTTCCTCATGTCTCTATTTGAGCATTCTTAATTGCCTTTTATAGAAATATAATTGATAAGCTAAGACTTTTTGGAGAAATATTTTCATGACACGACGTAAATTTTTGCTAAATAAATAAATATGGCTGATTGTTTTCATATCTACACCTTGATAACAGTAATAATAATCTAATAGCTCATGAATAAATTTAAACATGTAACAATAGTAATTAAGATCATATTCTAAGCGTTTGTATTCAAATTTTAGGTTATTTAGTAGTAAACAATTTCATATGCGTTTGATATTTTTTATTAAATAAATAAATTGCATTGTTTTCTTTACAAAATTGTTATATTTTTTTATTAATTTATTAATTTAAATAACTATTGACAAATATACAGTTAATTATCAACCGAACTGACAACAAAAATGAATTAAAGCAAATATTATTAGTCAAGGGCGTAGCCTCTATAGAGAATAATATGGGGGTGTCACAAGTAGGGCTGGGGCGATTATCAAAGTAAATAATCGATTATTTAAAATAATTTTCTAATATACGATTAATCGAAAATAATCGAATAATCAAAATAATCGACTAATCGAAATAATCTATTAATCAAAGTAATCAAATAATCGAGTAATGGAAATCGATTAATAGAAATAATCTATTAATCGAAGTAATCAAATAATCGAGTAATGGAAATCGATTTTAATCTAAATAATGAATTAATTAAAATAATCGATTAATCGAAAAAATCGAAATAATCGATTAATCAAAATAACCGATTAATTGAAATAATAGATTAATCGAAATAATCGATTAATCAATTATTTTGCCCACCCCTATATATAGTCACATGGTAGTGCTGGGTTCATTACTGTTTTTAATATATATTAATGACATTGTTAGTGTAGTCTAAAGATGTTCAATAAACATATTAGCGGATGATACCCTGATCTATTTTACTCATGAACACACTGTAACTTATTTTAAAGAAATTAATAGTTCTATAAGTAAAATAAATTATTGTAACGAAAACTTGTTGAAAATAAATTAGGAAAAAATAAAATGGATGTTAATTGGGGATACTAGAAATTTAAGAAAATTAAATGTCGACAGAGAGTCGAAAAAATGACATATCAAGGGGTTAAGCTTATTATTAATACAAATTATTTACAATTTAAGTAGTATACTAATAACATTTAAAGATAACAATTTGCCTAACATTAAATAAACTCCTGTTATTAAAACCTAATTTAGAAATATAGTTAATTTATCTTCTCTTATTTTAGTGTACGATAGAGGAGAAATGAAAGGTTCCTCGTGCTACAGACTGCAATCTCGAAATGGTCAATTCATTTATCTAAGGACGAACGGTTTTTTGGAAATCGATGACTCCGGAACCGTTGAATGCTTCACCTGTATCAACACATTGGTGTCGGAAATGGAAGGCCTGCAGTTAATCGAAGATATGAAAAAGAGATACTCTGCTATTTGTTACTTTGAGGTTAGCTCTAGTTAAATTCTGTTTTACCCATTTGACTAATTGGAAAAACAAAATATGTCCTTCCACTACATTGATTTTTTTTTGTTTAGAACCTCACCCCTCCTCCAAGCAACGACTCAATTGATATAGTTGAAGATCCACAACAAGTTGAAAGAGCTCTTATCCATTTGATGGAAAATCTTCCTTCTGGTGCTGCTGCCGAAGAAATAATTAATTCTAATGCTAATACCAACTTTGGCTCAATTCCCAGTCCCCCATTAGAGACTCAAGACTTGACGCCGATGACAGACTGTTCTCCTCCCAAGGTATTTTATCAATTGTTATATTTGTAGATTTCTAATTACTCATAAAAAATCTGATTTTGTTCCATAAAGAATTCTTGAAATAAAAGATTTAGGGATAGGTTATGATTCGATTTTGTCATTCTCAAGGCATTTTGAAAAAATGTGTAGAAGGGGTAACAGAGCTTTAGGCTTTGTATTAAGAGCAAACCGAAATTTATAATTCCTTTGAAGCGTTTATTTTTAGTCCGATTTTTGAGAAATTTTTAATAACAAAACAGAGTGGAGAAACTTTGATTTTTTTTGTAAACCTTCGAAAAGTTTTTATTTTGATAATTTTTAAAAGGAATAAAAAACATTACATGTCATTATGTATTAAATCTATCAAAAATTGCGGCATTAACAACGATCGGCATATTAATATCTAATTATTTTAAAACGAAAAATAAATTCTAGTGTCTTACCTTCACGCACCATGGACTCTGTCTGATCTAGGCTGAATTTGGTTCATTTGCATATTGGAATAAACCGATTAATGTACATTGTAGCAAATCTGAGTAAAATCGAAATTTAAAAACATTATACAGGGTGTTTCAAAAAGGTATGTCATAAATTCTTCCACAGATAGATTACAAAAAAATAAGTGGATTGGGCTATATTTACCTATATCAAAAACTGGCTCCTAACAAAGTTACAGGGCGTTAAACTAACAATCAATTTTTGAAATTTTTGCCAGTGCTGTAGATTAAAGGCCCAATATTTCAAGGAGAAAAAAAAATTAAAGCGACCCCTTTAAAAAAAGTTGGGGGGTTGTGTACCTTTTAACCCCCCCGTATTTTTTTTGTCATAAAGAAACTTGCTTTATCGATCTAAAAATAAAAAAGAATAGATTGTATAGGCTATAGTTCAGCGAATTTTTGTTTGACTTGGTTAAACGAAAACGATTAGTTCGAATATTGTCTGCCTGTCTAGTATCATAATTGTGCAAATCGGATTGTCTTATGTTAAACTGTTACTTTGTCTGAATTTTCGTCAAAACAGCAAATAGATATAATGTTGGCAGAGGCATTATATGAAGTTTTTTAAACAATGGTGGACATGGTTCACGAAAACCCACACTAGCTAATAGCCTTATTGCTCTTTTCTGCAACTTAAAGATCTCATCTGCACCAACAGAGTTGCTCCAGAGAATAATTCCATAGCCGATGTGGGAGCGAAACAGTCCAAAATATGTTGTTTTAGAGTTTGAAAACTTGTAATATTCTTTAAATGATGAAGGATAAAAAGGAGCTAGCCAATTTATTTCTTAGGTGATCCAAGTGATCACGCCAAGATAGGTTACTAATCTACAAATATACCAAGTAGTTTAACACTATCTGAACTCACTCTAGGAATATTATTAGAAAAGTAAAGACTTTGTGTTTTGTCCTCATTTAATTGAAGTTTGCAAACCATAAACCATAATTGCGATTTAGAATCTGTAGTCAGAAATCTTCATAAGATTTGAGATATTTTTATCAGAGTAGATGTAAGAATCATCTGCAAACAATACAGAATTATAAGATCGTATAGAACTAGGTAAGTCATTAATATAAATGATAAATAACAGAGGGCCAAGAAGCCTTGTGGAACATTTTTGTTTAATTAAATTAAAGTCAGACTTTGAATTACTGTAGACTACAGTCTGATATCGATTTTTTAAATTGGATTCAATTAATGACAGTGACGTCCCTCTAACACCGTAATACCACAGCTTTTCTACTAGAATGTTGTGAGAGACACAGTAGAAAGCCTTCGAAAGATCACACAGTTTAATAGCTGTATGTTTTCCACTTTCAAAGTCCTCGACTATGAGGTTCACAACCTCTAGAATAGCATGAGAAGTTGAACGTCCTTTACGGAAGCCATACTGGGAATTGGCAAAAAAATATATTTTCAAAGTAGTTATACAAACGTTCTTTTATAAACTTTTCTATTATTTTGCTAAAAATAGATATTATGGAAATTGGACGAAAGTTATCCACTTGTGAAGTATTTTCTTTTTTATGTAGTGGCAGAACTTTGGAAAATTTAAAAGCGCCTGAAAAAATGCCGGTATTAAAAATTAAATTAATCAGAGTAGTAAGGGGTGTTTCCAATAATATGTGCCGTTTGTTTAATGACAAAGCTGTTAAGTTCATTTGCATCCAGACAACTGGAGTTTTTTAAATGAGCAATTGTATTTATAACTTCTTCATTTGTTGTTGGTAACAAAAAGAAAGAACTGCAAGGGGCTGGGAAATTTCTGAAATTTTGTAAGTCAGTGAATGAAACTGCTGGTAATGACTTTATAATATTCTCTGCAACATTAGAAAAAAATTGTTAAACTCATTAGTAGTTAAAGAAACATCTGGAGAGCTAGTTTTAAATTTGTTACTTTCAAAATTTATTATTTGCCAACAAGATTTGGGTTTGTTTTGAGAAGAACATGTGTAATTGTTGTAAGCTGCCTTTTTTGTGATCTTTAAATTATAATTATATTTTTTTCTGTATCGGTAGTATGCTGTAAAATCATTAGGTATAATTTTTAAACTAGACAAACTTTGCCTCATAGTCTTTAAAGAATCATACCAGTTTATTGGACATTTTTTATTTTAGTGGAGACTTTCTTAAGAGGAAAACAGTTGCAAATAATGTTGTTGTAGGTATTTATTAAGTGAGAAGCTAACACATTTACATCTAGTTCCGATTCAGAGACATCCCAACTGACCCTATCTAGGACTTTTTCATTTTTATCATATCTACTTTTGTTGTAACTCTTTTTTTTAGTTAGTTTATTATTTTTATGATAATTAGAATTTTCACACGTTATAATATATTGGGCCCGATGGTCAGCAATACCAGGCTCAAACATCCCTGATTTGTAACTGTTTTTCACTAAGTTTGTAAAAATATTATCGATAAAAGTAGCTGAATTTGCTGTTACCCTAGTAAAATAATTGATAGTATATAACCGATAAATGAAAAGAAACCAAAACTGCTTTCAACTTTTTATAGCCACAGAGTTTGTTTTAAAATCAATATTAAAGTCTCCAATATTGTAATTATAGTATTAAATTTTATTAAGAAATTCAATAATAATTTTTGAGAAATATGTCAATCTCATCAAGACCTGATCGATAGACTGATACAATCTTCAGTTTGCTATTTTAAAGTTCTATAGCAGAGAACTCCGCTTGATTAATATTAAATTCTTCTACATTTAATGATTTACATTTTATATTATTTTTTAAAAATATGGCTGTACCACAGGGCTCTTTATACTTTCTACAGAAAAAATTTGCTAGGCAATACCCCCCAAGTTAACACTTGTCAGATTTTCTTCTCTCTGCCAATGTTCAGATACACAGACAGCATCAAATTGGTATTCCGATAAAAATAAATCAAATATTTCAATTTTATTAGATAGACACTGAGAAATACTCACTGAAAATCTATCATTTCACTTTCTTTGAATAATTTTCTTTCTGTTGCTCGTTACAGTTTTGCACTATACCCAAGAAAAATTTAAGCTGAATCTGTATAACACGATTATTCTACTACACTTTAATTATTGTTACAATTACTCTTTTTTCTAAATCAAAATGAGTTGAACCGACGACTGCAGAATCATTTTATATTTTATCTTGTAGATACATATGAAAAGGCCAAAGAGGCCGCAGAGTACTGATGGACCTTATGATCATTACACTTACAAAAAACACAAGGCAGCCGTTTTACAGAAAGTGGCGTCACCGGAAAGCAGGGAGCCATCACAAGGATACAATGGAAAATCAGTCAAAGTGAGTATTTTTACTTTTAGTGTAATTTTTCTTTATTGATAATTAAATAAACTAGAAAAGATAGAATATCAATGGCTATAAAGTGCTCAGTTTCCAAAAAAGTACTTTCTTGGCATCAAAAAAATGCACCAAAGATAATGTAATATCTCTTTAGGACAGTAAGTGGTTTACCAACTACGATATAGAGATAATGGGCCTTTAATGATTTAAAACTCTGCATATATTTTAATGAATTTTATTATAATCAGATATTCTGAACAATAATCTTCTATCATATTACCAGAGCCGGTATGTTAATAGGTCATTTCATGTACGTACTTTACTTTATAAAAACATTTGTCGATTTTAATTTTAAAATGTCTGTGTATATTGATAAACAGAGCTCGGAATTATATAATGATGACGTCAAATTAGGGTAAAGGCAGAAGCGATTGTAGGTAGGTGCTTAAGAAGGTACACTCGCTTTTTAATTTTGAATTGTTTCAAATCTTCATTATTATTGAGATACGATAAGATCTAGCACAGTTGTATTGATGCAATTGTATTCAACTGTTTTTTGACCCTTTGGAAGGTCAAAGGATCAAAAAGAAGACAATAAATAGCCATAAAAAACATTTATTTATTTAATTATCGATATAGTTCAGAGTTTTGTATAGACATTTTAAAATTATGTCAATCGAACAGATTTATTATACCAGATTTGTGTTTTCATTCATCAGTTGTGTGTAGATCTACATTTTCAAATACAACCTTTACATATCAACATGAGGTGCATAACTTAAATACGAGGTGTCACAGATCCACAATGTTTTTTCTCAAATTATCCTAGTCTGTACGTTAAGGTAGAGTGATGAATCTTGTAGATTGTCTTGATGCTTTATTAAAAGGTGTAGTGTAATGCAGAAATTAACTTTAATTTTCAGTACCTTGCTTTTAATAATAACTGGATTTATTGCATCTTGCTAAACTCTGAACTCCATTTAATAATATAAAATGTTTTACGTAATAAATTGTACACAAAACATGCCGGTTTAAAAAATATTTTATGAGTATAACTTTTGTTTTAATGTTACATTTGCGTCTGCTTCGCTTGGAGTGTCAAATGGTTCTCAACTAAAAAATGTCTTTGCATGTTGTCTAAAAATCTTTGCCATGACACTATATTGTGATTGGTGAAAAAGGTAACGTCGTTTATACCTAATACAAGGAAAGAGAGAGGACGCATAACAAGTATATCAAGCACTCATAGTATTCTGTGCCGATTATCGATTGGCCGCCATTATTTTGTTTCTAAGCATTTCGGCGATACCAAAGCTTTTTACTCGTATTTGTAATTTTTGAATTAAACGACATTTGATGATTAATTTGTTACAATGGTTTATTGTGTTGCATATCAGTGTAAAGGAGTAAAAATACGACGTGTCACTTTTTGCAATCAGATGAGGGACTACTATAAGAGGACGAATCTGTACAAAATCTTGTATTTTTTTGGGGTTAATAAGTTTATTATAAAAAAAATACGTGTGGAACTCGGGGACTGCCGCGGTAAAGCTATTGCATAGCATTTTTTATCAACTTATGCAATTATAATTATTTATTTATTTTATTTATGCAGTATTTTTTTTTGTCTTTGATATTAATTGCCAGTTTTTTCTTTGATATTAATTCAAGTTACACTTTTTGAGCGTAGTGACCGATAAGAAAACAAATTTTTTTCTTTTATTGAATAAATGAGAAGTTAATATTGTTTAAAATATATTTATTATCTTACAATACATGTAGGTTATTCAGGAATTTTTGAAACTATAGAAATAAGAAACATAAGTTTGAGACTTGATATCCTTTAAATATCTGGAAAATACCGCGTCAATGGTGGTCCCATATTTTGTTGAGGATTCTTGCGGATCATTATTCATTTTCAAATTCAATTTTTCCGAAATTGTGTCTAAAAGAGAATCAGTTATGAGCAGTTAGCAGCTAGTCTACACGCATACGTATAGTCGCACGCACACAAACACCGTGCCGAAGTCTGCCGAACTGAAACGACGTTAGACGATGCACGGCTTTGAACGCCGCATCGCTGTGCCGGTCGGAGTGGGGGGTGTTAGGTTTATTTTCGTTACGGAATTTCTTTTTCGATTTTTCGATTTTACGATTCTTCGAGGTGGTTTATTTTCGTTACGGAATTCCTTGATTCGGTTGCCGTGTTCAAAGCCCGCGATAAAATCTATGCAATAGCTATTTACGCTAGCCGGGAACATTTGTGATACCAATTTATTAGAAGCCAGAGAAAGCTCTTCTAGTTCTTGTATTGCTAAAACGTTCCAGTCTGCAGACGTATATTTAACTCCGCTTCATACTAATACGAATAGGGTACGGATAAAACCTTCCACGGCTTTCAACGCCGCACCGCTGTGCCGGCAGGAGTGGGGGGTGTTAGGTTTATTTTCGGAATTTCTTGATTCGGTCGCCGCGCTCAAAGCCCGCGATAAAAGCTATGCAATAGCTTAAAAAATCGTGAAAAAGCATTTCTTGAGCTACCCCTTCCTAATTTATATCTTCTTAAAAATAATTATGCCTTTATTATTTTCAGCAAGAACCTGAAAAGTCCATATATCAACATGACCACTTGCTAAGCCAGAAGTAAATAAAACTAAACAAATCCCAGAATTGGAAGACTGAATGAATAGGGCCATACTTAAGGATTATAACATTTATCACCAAGAAGAAAAACAATAAGAAACTGTTAGGAAATCGAGGTGTTACCGGTGTTATGATGAGTGTAATATTTATACTTGTTTATGCGCAATGTGCCCAAAGACTGAACCTGAAGATAGATTTAGAAAAGTATATTTTTAGGTATATTTCACGTTATTTTAAGGACCTATTAGTGATTTTTTTGCTGTGTCGGTATATCATTATTAAAGCAACGGATGGACGCTATATGGTTTAGAAGATACTCTGTTACTTTGGCGAATATTTTCTCGCTCGTATGGAGGAATACCAAAGTGAAGTATGCTTTAATCGGATAAAAGAAGGAAATTGTTGTCACATAATTTTATTTAATCAAGTTGCTTTCCTATGTTTTTTTATATTTGAACTTGCAGGTATAAGACAATATAGAAATGTTAGGAAAGTTGAAATTTCGAACATTTTCTTATTAAGTCGAAAGTTTACTCTAATATAATTTCATAAAAAAAAAGAAGTTTTTCATATTTAAATTAAAATTTAATGGAAACTCGTATATGGTTAAAATGTCTAAATATTAAAATCTCCTTTAAATTTAATATGATATTGTTCTCAACATCGTTGAAAGAAATTCACCGTGGTATAAAGAGGCTACAATTTAAATAATTATTATTACATATTATTACTATTAAAACTTGTTTCTATCGATACAATGTTGGTACAGTAGCGTCGTTACTACACATCTTTTTTGATAACATCGAATTTTAGTAAGTTTCTTATTGGTAATATTGACCGGCGCTAGTGGATCTGTTCGCGTCTTGACGGTCATATGAGCCGGCAGTGCCTTATTGATTTTACCGCCAACCGTCAATAAAGCCTTAGCGACTTACAGAAGCAAAAAAACACTATCTCACTGTAGAAATCAAATATTTTATATGCCGCTAATATTTATCAACATAGCCATGATCGTGTCAGAAATAGTCTGCAACTGATTTGTTTTGTATTTCATTGTTATTTTTCAGTTTGTTTACTTTGTCATACTAAAATATGATGTTAGAATATTTCCTTTTTTTATTAATTATAATTATTTACGGTTGGCGATAAAAGTTAAACTTACAACCTAGTAATAATGTTGTTATTGTCCTTATTTTCCATTCTAAATCAATATAAATTAATTTTAAAAAAATACACGACAAAATAACCCACTTTCTTGAAATCTAAATAACTTTAACAAGCATTATAAACACATTACAACAAATTGTTGAAAATAAATTAATGATTTTCTATTTGTCAATAAAATATGCAACTAACGATATAAGAAAGTAATAATATTGGTGGCCTTGATGTCAGTAATGTTTTACCAAAGCACAATTTTATAAATATTCTAGGCAAAATTAGAAAACATATTGTATGTAACCCGATAAGAAATACCGTTTTATGTAACTTGTTCATGTTGCGGGGCCTCGCTCTCCTCGTCCCGCAAATATTCACTCGTTACATAAAGTGAAGAATTTCGTAACTGATTTCATAAATAACTATTCTTTCCTAGTAAAACAGATATTCTTTATGCAATTTATAATAACTAGGGGCGTGCAAAATAATCGATTATTCGAATATTTTTTTTGTTAGAAAACTTAATTGATTAATAGAAAACAATCGATCAATCGAAAATAATCTATTATTTTAAATAATTTAATTAGATATTTACTAATAATCTATAAATTAATAACAATCGAATATAAGATTAAAAATCAATTAAATAATATCGATTAATTGATAATCCGATTATTCGGAAATAATCAATTTAACGATTGATAAAAAATAATCGATTTTCTATTATTTGATAATAACTGACGTTAATGGAAAATATTCGATATTGATTAATCGAATAATAAAAATGAATCGATTTAGCGAAAATTATCGAATAATTAAATAACCGAAAATAATTATTTTCAATAAATCGATTATTTGGAGCTGGTCAATTTAATGATTAATGAAAAATAATCGATTTTATATTATTTGAAAGTAACTGAGGTTAATGGAAATTAATCGATATCGATTAATTGAATAATCAAAAACAATCGATGAAGCGAAAATTATCGAATAATTAAATAATCGAAAGTTATCGATCATTTTAAATAATCGATTATTTATTTTGATAATTTTCCAGTCCTATCGATAATTAGATATTGTAAAATGATCATTTGATTACTTTATTAATCACTAATGTAATATTTAATTAAATTATATATTTACTAATAATCGATAAATTAATATCGATATATCGATTAATTTAATAATGGATAATCCAATTATTCAAAAATAGTCAATTTAACGGTTAATTATATGAAAATAACAGATTTCAATCAAATAAGTATTATCGATTAATCGAAAATAATTGAATAAACGATTAACCGAAATATAATTGAATAATCGATTAATCAAAAATAATTGAATAATCGTAAGTTATCGATTATTTTGGTTTAATTGATTGATCGAAAATTCACGATAATTGAAAATAATCGATTATTTTTTTTGGTAATCGCTTAGCCTTAATTATAACATTGTAAAAACATAAATGATGCTCTTTTAGCAGTCATTACATTGCGAAAAAACTCTTTTGGGTTTATTTTTATCAAAACAAATTTTGCATTATCTTCTATGTTTGTATCAACAAGTTTTTTAAACGTATTTTTTACTTGTTTCGGGAAAGTTTAAAATAAATTGAACTTTTTGATAATGAGACAATTTTAGCAGCCAAACATAAAGGGTTTATATTTGTATCTAATTGAACTTTTATGGTCACTGACTTTTTTATTAGCCTCGTCTGTTATGCTCTCTCAGTCATATATTACTTTTTGTGCAATAAAATTCTTTATTAAGCTTGCGTTACCTAAATAGCTATTAAGTAAATAATAAAGGGCTGCATAAAAGAATAAGTTACAAATGAAAGTTTTTCTCGGAATTGTATAAAATCGGTAAAGTATTTTACCCAGAACTTCCCTTGATATAGAAATTGTAAAAACAGGCTACTCCTAAGCACTTAAATTTTAATAATTTAAAATTAAGACCACGAAACCAACAACCCATTTCTCTCCTTGATCCCACCCAATCTAACCTAACCCACCTTCATTGAAGGATAATAATTTTAAAATGGTCCAGTTACAAAACCAAAAGGACGTTGGTTATTATTTTCATCAAGGGGAACTTTTTTTATTAAATAAAATTTCTTTCTACGCCATTTTGAATTTCTTTTTTTAAACTTCTTTGACTTCTATAATTTTCAGATACCCACTTTAGCCAAAATCTGCCGACTTTTAAAAATACATGACTTTTTTAAAACTGGTCACCTTATATATAACTGACCGGAAGTGTGACTGGTTTTGTTCCAGAAAGGAAACCTTATCTGCACTCAAAATTTGAAGTTTTTATATAAATTCGTTTTTGAGCTATCGCGCCAACAGATAGACAGATCTGGAGACCCTGAAAGGTGAAGATCTGATATAATCTCGTAGGGTGAATTTTTCACGATTACAATACTTTCTACTATAAGTAAAAATGGAATAAAATAATTTCAGCCACTAAAACGTTTGTTAGCGAGACTAGTACTAAAATCGATAGCTTATGTTAATATAAATTGGTTCTCTACAATATGTTAACTTTTCCTCAATGACACCAAAAGGACGGCATAAAATTAGTAATGTTATTTATTAGACAGAGGTAGAACAATCCGCGCCAGCCCACTAGTGGTAGTTGTAACCATGCGTCCAATCGCGGCAGGCAGTCAACCGATTTATTTTTCTCACATGCAAATATAATTACGCGTATCACACCTTTATTTTGAAATATCCTTGGGTTAAATCACTGTATGTATATCCGTTGAAGTGGAAAAAATCATCCATCAGAGCACAAAATTCTGCTATTTGGCGCAACTTACGTTTTGTTCCCAAAAATACGAGTATATCTCAAAAATGTCTCTTTATCTACGCGTTTCATTTAAAATATGTCAATTATTAATATATAAAAGCAATGTTCGAAATTTCTAAAACTCCTACACATTTTCCTAAATTCCGAGGACACATTTTAATAAGCTAAGGACTTGATTAACTGGTTAAGAGGAAGCTTGTTTTATTTTATAACTACAATAAGGGCATAAATGCAACTTGTACAGATTTTTTAATATTCTCGTAATATATATTAAATATTTTAGGATTTAATTATAGTAAAACTGTGATGAAATTTGTTCATGTTAATTTTAGAAAGTAATGTCTGTTTTTTGTATAAATTATCAAGATATCATAGGTGCAGAGGTAAGGATATTTTTGGATTTGAAATACTACTCGTTTACAGGAAATTTTGTTTCTTTAAATATCGATGTAAATTATACAGGGTGTTAATGAATACTTGTTACAAATTTATAGGTTATGTAGAGCATTAAAAATATACCAACTTTTATTAAGAAATTCATACCCGCAAATTCACCATTGTCAAGTCAATGCTCAGAAGTATCTACCATTGAAAGATATATTAGTACTCTTTCTAAAACGACAAATGTTGTTTAATTCTTGTGCTTTGGTCATAATAGGATAATGACCCCTGCAAACCTATCTAACAAAGTAATGTGTTAACCCATCCGGCTCTAAATTCTTGTTTTTCTGGTTTCGGATCGCAAAAAGTCTTGCAGCAGGCACATCTGAAATCCCCAGTTGTACAAGGTTGTCCATTTTAGACTGGATTACGTTACTAATGAAGAAACAGCCATATTTGAGCCGATAACAAAAGTCGGAAACAACATAATATATACATATATACATTAGTATTGTTGAGTGTCTTTAAAATGGGTTATACCTTCTTCCATCTCGTCTCACTGTCTCCATTTCATCATGCAATTATTGAGCTCTCGAATGGAGAGCACTTTTGGTGTTTCCATAGAAAAAGCACAGTGCTAACAATCGAGCT